GCTAGGCCCTGGCCACAATGTAAAGCCTAAACACAGTTTGAAACACAGTATAATGAACACTTCTCTACAGTTCCTTTTTTAAAGTAAGAACTAAAGTGTACTACTCATATTGACCCATGGAAAAGTCAGCCCAGGTTTTGGGGGGTGATTTTTTAGCTTAACTTTCAAGACATGAATAGTAACATTATTCTTGTAAAAAAAAATAGAACATTACAACATTAAGCCAAACACTTGTTTTTTAATACCTATATTTGCATATACTTAAATATATATGCTTGTTGCCATTTCACTGATTCTTTCACTTCCCCCAGCCCTCTATCTTGTTCATTGGGTACTGGTGTTGTCTGTGATAAGGTGGGGGAAATGCTATAGGGGGGTGCTATAAAGGGGAGAGTCCAGGGAGAAGAAAGAAGGAAGGGAGGATGAAAGAGAGTAATAGAAAAAAGAAGGAAAGCTGAGAAAGAAAGACACAGAAGGGAGGCTCAAACTCAGTACATCTCCCCTACACCTCAACCCCACCCCAAGAAAAACAGCAAAAGGGAATAGAAAGGGAACCTCCACCTCCCAGGAAAATGGCGAAAGAAAAAAGAATGAGGGAGAACAAAGAGGTGACTAGCTCCTTACACCACCTTCACCATGCCAACCCTCTGTCAAAAGAAAAGGAGTGAGAAGTGAGAGAAAGGTGAGACTGAATTCACCATGGCATTTCCTGCCATTTCATAGATTAGCCTCTTGGGCCCCTTCTACACTGCTATATAAAATCCACATTATCTGCTTTGAACTGGATTATATGGCAGTGTAGACTAAGATAATCCAGTTCAAATCAGATAATGTGGATTTTCTTTGATAACCTGTATTATCTGGCAATGGAGAAGGGGCCTCAGTCTCTCTCTGACTTGGCATCTCATAAAAATGTGAGGCTGGAGAGAGATGGGGGACCTGAGGGACAATTTAGCAGGAGCACTAATACCACTGCCTTAAAGGCACAAGCAGATGGTGCAATGTTTTAGTTTTTGAAGGTTTTCCTTTTCAGAATAAGGTAGAATCAACCTGCATAACATTGGGGGGGTTTTCAACCAGTGGAAACTGTGGGCACTGATACTGCTTGCAAAAGAGTTTCATATGTAAAATATTCCCAAAGTAATCATTTAATGCATACCTGGATTAATTCATTTCCACTCCCTAAGGTTTGGAGAGGAGTTCTTGGAGCTTTTAAAATCTAAATGAGAAATAGGCATAGATAACATAGAACATAATCTCTACAGCACCAAATAACTAATTTCAACTATTACATTTTAATAATAATTTACAGTAAATACTTTTATTCTACAAATCAAAACTGCACCCTAGAAAACCAGTGTAATCTTTAGCTCATACAGACTGAAAGAATGTGAAATTTAAAAGCAGTCTGTGATGAAACTTTTTGGTTCAAAATATATATTTTTAAAATCCTATAGCCAGGCCTCGTCAGTAAATGCTCTGCCCTACTCTGTTATTGTAATTATTAATAACCAAGAATGAGAATCTAATCACATCAGCTCAAACATAAATGAGCACACTCCATATAAAAAGCAGAATCAGAATGTAGTCATGTTTTAGATAATGAATGAATGAATGTGCATGCTGTGTGTATGAAAAGGATTTCAGTATGCTTCTACAAATTCCAACTAAGGCTTGGGTACTCTGGTAAGCTGCTTGTGTGTGTGTGAAAAAACCCTCAATACTTCCACAGCCATGAAATCATGGATGCTGCAGATTTTGGGGTGAAACTGGTTGGAGGCCATCAAGGCCTCTAACTGGCTCCAGGGTTTGCCATCTGATCATTTGCACACTTAAACTGCTTTCTCCTCTGCTAGTTACACACCAATTTATTTATTTATTTATTTATTTATTTCTGCTACTTATACCCCGCCCTTCTCACCCCCGAGGGGGGACTCAGGGCGGCTTACAAAAAGAAGGCACAATTCGATGCCCATATCCAAATACATAAATATATAAAACAATTAAAATAATTAAACAATTAACAGATTAAAAACATCAATATATAACACAATAGCACAATAGTAAACAGTCTCATGGTCAGTGTTTCGAGTTCCATAGGTCCATTACGTTTCGTCATTATTTGCCCATCATTATGGTCTTTCTTTTTAGCTGCCAGAGTTTCCAAAAGCCTGGTCCCACATCCAAGTTTTCAGCTTTTTCCTGAATGAGGGAAGGGAAGTCGCTGATCTGATCTCCCTGGGGAGTGAGTTCCACAGGTGGGGGGCCACTACCGAGAAGGCCCTGCTCCTCGTCCCCGCCAGTCTCACTTGTGATAAAGGCGGGGTCGAGAGCAGGGCCTCCCCAGAAGATCTTAGACTCCGAGGTGGGACGTAGAGGGAGATCCGTTCGGACAGATACACTGGGCCGGAACCGTATAGGGTTTTGTAGGTCAAAACCAGCACCTTGAATTGTGCTCGGAATTGGATCGGCAGCCAGTGGAGCTGGCATAACAGGGGGGTGGTATGCTCCCTGTATGCCGCTCCGGTGAGCAATCTGGCTGCCTCCCGCTGGACTAGTTGGAGTTTCCGAGCAGTCTTCAAAGGCAACCCCACGTAGAGTGCGTTGCAGTAATCCAGTCGGGATGTGACAAGAGCGTGGACCACCGTGGCCAGATCCGACTTCCCAAGGTACGGGCGCAGCTGGCGCACAAGTTTTAGTTGTGCAAAAGCTTTCCCGGCCACCGCTGAGACCTGGGGTTCCAGGCTCAGCGATGAGTCCAGGATCACTCCCAAGCTGCGAACCTGCGTCTTCAGGGGGAGTGTAACCCCGTCTAACACAGGCTGTAACCCTATACCCTGTTCGGCCTTACGATTGACCAGTAGGACCTCTGTCTTGTCTGGATTCAATTTCAATTTGTTAGCTCTCATCCAGTCCGACACAGCAGCCAAGCACCGATTCAAGGTCTGGACAGCCTCCTTGGTGACAGGTGGGAAGGAGTGACAGATTTGGACATCATCTGCGTAACAGCCAAGCACCGGTTCAAGGTCTGGACAGCCTCCTTGGTGACAGGTGGGAAGGAGTGACAGATTTGGACATCATCTGCGTAGAGATAACATCTCATTCCAAAACTCCGAATGATCTCCCCCAGCGGCTTCATGTAGATGTTAAATAACATCGGGGACAGAACTGAACCCTGTGGAACTCCACACAACAACGGTTGTGGGGCCGAACAGGTGTCACCCAATAACACCTTCTGGGACCGACCCTCAAGGAAGGATCGGAGCCACCGCAGAGCAGTGCCCCCGAGCCCCATGTCCATGAGGCCAATCTAAGTGGTCAGTGTAGATATGCCCTTAGTTGTTTGCAAAATTCTTGTACACAGCTTTAAACAGACAATCTTCTTGAGAGCAGTCTGCTTCCAGGTTCATAAAATTTTAACCAATTTGTCTAGATGGCCACATCCCTGCTTACCTTCTGTAAGCAGGTAAAGACCTTTCTGTGACAGCAGGCATTTGAGGAGGGTGAGGGACATGCTGCTGGGGAGGCGCTGGTGGGATTCTGGGAGGATGGTCAGTTTTAAATGTAATTTTAATTGTATTTATTATACCTTTGCATTTTAATACTATATCCAAACAGTATTATTTAATATGTTTCTAATGTTTGTATTTGCTTTGTTTTAAACTACATCAGACTGTGTGGTTGTTAACTGCCTTGAGTCCCCATGGGGAGAAAGACGAGGTATACATAAAGTAAATAAATAGTATCTGTTGCAAAAACAGCACTTTAAATTTAATATTTTGACCTTGGTTACTCAATGGAGCCATCATTAAGAACTCTATTTTGCAGGTCATGCAAAGATATATTCATAGAAGAAAATAAACAATCCACACATAAGCTCAAAGTCTTCCATTTATTTGTAATGGAAATATAGTCTTTTAAAATTATTATTCTATAGTGGTGTTGGTAAATTTAAAAGGACATTGAAACATCTTCTTTCGATTCCTAGTTTTATACTAAAATGTCTCTTTAGATAAGGAATCATGACTAAAATTACTTGCCTTTACAATGATTAAATATATAGGATTTATATGTTGCACTTACTGAAGAAATTCTTCTTTTAATTGTACCATCTGTGAAGTCTCTATAAAAAAAGCAAGAAAAAGCACTCAGTCTAAAAGGCAAAATCCCATTCCTCCTCAGCATTTCATACACACATTTGTCCACAATGAATCACAAAATAAAGCCAGTATCAATAAATAGTTATGGTGCATTTCCAGTGTGAAAGAAATGCACATTTTCTGACATATTAGGCGATAAAGAAGTATTAATCAACACATCAATCCATTTTATTACAAAGAACAATAAACAGTCAAGATAGAAAATACTGAGACCTCAACTTACTTTTCCTCATTTGTTTCAGAATAACTTCTGTCCATTTTGAAAGACTCTGGTTACCTGAAACAATAGACACATTAGTTTCTCAAAACACTGTCAGAGGCACAATACAACAACTCCACCCATCAGGAAAAAATCATCATAATCATCAACATCATCATCATCATCTTTATTTAAACCCCACCACCATCTCCCCAAAGGGACTCAGGGGCAGTTCACAAAAACACTCCAAGTGCCACACAAAAAATAAACAATATATAAGCATATAAACAATGACATAATGAATTTACAACAGGGAACACACATAAAACATCACATAATACAATTTTTAAAATTCACAAAAGCTGGCAGTTGGCGCAGTTTCTGATGTGGGCTTGGAAGTTTAGAACAATGTAGTAACTGGAATTTTGGAATTCATTTTAACTCTCCTTCCTGATTTATCATGAAACGGCTGAATGAAAATGCTCCTTATTTATGTCATATTTCTAGAAAATATAAAGTAAGCCTTCAACAAGGGAAATTAAATCTAAAAACACTGTGGCTTGTACATCTAAAACAGAAACAATACAACTTTAATCAGGAAGACAGATTCCTGTGATTCCAGGGAAATATTACTTAGAAACAAAGTACAGGCAGTCGCCGAGTTACAAACACCCGACTTACAAACGGCTCATTGTTAAGAACAGAGGTGAGACAACAGGAATTGAAAGGATCTACCCTTAGGAAGGAAAATTTACCCCTGAAAGAGTTAGCATGTGGAAAAAGTGTCTCCCCTGAAACTTTCTCACCAATCTTGCTTCCACAACAAGCCAATTTTTTCAAAATCCAATTACCGTATATACTCAAGAACAAGCCAAGTTTTTCAGTCCTTTTTTGGGCTGAAAAGGCCCCCTCGGCTTATACTGGAGTCAAAGTTTTTTATTATTTTACTCAATTATTATTATTACATTTATTATTTTACTCTATTATTATTATTACATTTCTATTATTTTCCTTTATTTATTCTTCTTATATTACATTTATTATTATACTCTATTTATTATTATTACATTTCCATTAATTTACTCTATTATTATTTTTATTACATTTACTATTTTACTCTCTTTATATTATTGGAAGGATACATAAGCACATTTACATTGAAGGTGGTTAGAATAATGGTTTAATCAGAGTTGGACAGTCTTAAATTGCAGTTTTATGTAAGTATTCAAAAACATTTAACCTACCAATGCCTCAATTAATGTAATTTTATTGGTATCCATTTTATTTTGAAATTTACCAGTAGTTGCTGCACTTCCTACCCTTTGCTTATAGTTGAGTCAATACGTTTTCCCAGTTTTTTGTGGTAAAATTTGGGTTGGCTTATACTTGAATATATACGGTGAAGCAGGCTTTTCTTTTTCCTGAGCAATTGCTCAAAGGCTCAGCCAAAATGCTTTCTTTCAGTTCAATTGCGGACGCAGATGAGTCAGGAAAAACAGCCAACTGGGTTCAGCAAGAATATCAAAGTTTATTATAGCAGCTGCTAGTTGGCTTTCCGACGCAACAAGGCATCTCTGGGGAAAGCCACACCAGCACAAAGGGTTAGAGTTACTTTTATACATACAAAGGGGTTCGGCCTTAAGAGCCGCCCCAAAGATTAAATCATTGGTTAAAAGAGCTGTCAATATTATACATACGTTAAGCAATTAGATCATACACTTTTTAAGTTTCGTTTCTTCCCAATAAGCAAGTCCCTTTTTAGAAACATCTCAAAATGCTGATATGCAAAATACAGCTGGGGACATCTGCTAATCTGGCAAAGTCAGCACTGATCTGGCAAAGTCAGCGTGTCTCTTGACCGATACTTCACCCTCGCACAAAAAATCTCTTTGGCACTAAAACCCGTCTTTGTTTCCCATATATGGTCAAGTCCATATCCGTTCTCCTTTCTATATGAAGATTCCAGCACTTTGTAAAACTAAAGCTATATTTTCTGAAGAGCCTACAGAACAAAATTGAGGGGTATTTGCCATCACAACTATTAGGTCCATTGATCTACAAAAATATGGGATCTGATCCTGCCTTAACGGTATCACAGGAACAGAAAATGAGGTGAAATCCTCTGAACAGAGGTACAGACAACAAAACAAACACCACAGGCATGTTAACCTTCCTACGCTATCTAAAGCTAAATAATGTGTGTGTGTGTGTGTGTGTGTGTGTGTGTGTGTATTATGGCTGGAGTTACACTTAAATCTTATTCATAACTCGGCGACTGTTTCTATGGAATAACTTGCAGGGTGGAAGATCTACCCTCAAGAGCTACTGGGAACAAAGGCTACAGTCTATTGGAGACATGCAAATTTCCTCTCAAGTCAATCTGCACAAGAGATAGTTTCAAGCAGGTGGCAAGAACTAACTTGGACAAAAAGAAGAAGCATATAACAATCAGAGCTTGAACAAGTTCCTTTTTCTGGACTGAAATTCCAAATTTGGACACAATACACCTCTCAGGACAACGAGTGACCATCTATCTATCTATCTATCTATCTATCTATCTATCTATCTAAAAATGCTCTGTGCATAATGAGTACCTTAAAAACAAAAGGACCAATGAACGAAATCACACCAAATTTGGCAACAAAACGTCTCACAACACAAGGAGTGCCCATCACTCAAAAAATATGATTTTGACATTTGGGAGTTGTAGTTGCTGGGATTTATAGTTTACCTACAATCAAAGAGCATTCTGAACTCCATCAACGATGGAATTGAACCAAACTTGGCACACAGAACTCCCATGACCAACAGAATATACTGGAAGGTTTTGGTGGGCATTGACCTTGAGTTTGGGAGTTGTAGTTCACCTACATCCAGAGAACACTGTGGAATCAAACAATGATGGATTTGGACCAAACTTGGCACAAGCACGCAGTACGCCCAAATATGAGCACAGATGGACTTTGGGGAAAATAGACCTTGACATTTAGGAGTTGTAGTTACTGGGATTTATAGTTCACCTACAATCAAAGAGCATTCTGAACCCCATGAACGAGAGAATTGGGCAAATTTCCCACACAGAACACCCATGGCCAACAGAAAATACTTAAGGTCATCCAGTCCAACTCCCTTCATCAGGGCAAGAAAACGTAATCAAAGTCCTCCTGACAAAGAGCTATCCAGCCATAGATATAGAAAGATAGATATGATGCACTCACGCAGAGATAGAGTATCATAGATTTGAAAGGGACCCCTAAAGAAGGACAATTATATGTTGCATGTTCCAGAGTAGGCAAACAGACAATCTCCACATCAACACTGACAAAGAAACAGCAAGAAACACTGTTTACTCACAAGCAGAAAGAAATTAGACATATTAGAAACCAACACTTTTTCATTACTTTATTTTCCAGACCACCAGACTGGGCCACAGCAACGCGTGGCAGGGGACAGCTAGTCACTCATAAAAACACTGAAAAACACAGCAGAAGAGACTTAACGAGCCAAAAACCAAAAAAATACATTACAACGCATGCTTAAAACCACATATATATACATACACAAACACACATATAGACACATACACACAAATACATACACACTCAAAACACATCTACAGCGATGCGTGGCAGGGGACAGCTAGGTTTACAATAAGAGTTGCATAAAGAATTCCACTCCCTTATGCAACTTTGACGTAAATGAAAAGGCAACCTTGACCAGTCACTTCAGAGCCCAGTTATATCCATAATAATACTGTCTCCACCTGTTATGAATGGTGGGAGTTGAAGTCCAAAACACCTGGAGGGCCGAAATTTGCCTGGGCTAAGTGATAAGAAGAGTACCATCAGAAGGCTTTGTGGCTCCTGAGGAGAAGGCCGTGGAAGCGCCAAGCCCGGTTTTCAAGCGCTCACTTCGCCTCACCGTGACGCCCTGCCTCCGCTTCCGCCTCACCTAGCCAGAAAAAGCGCTTCCAAACAGGAATAGGGGCCCTTTCCGTCTTCCTTCCGAGCCTCCGGGTCCCACGGCTGAGGAGAAAGAAGACAGCGACTCCCTGGCCGCCTTTTCTCTGCTCTCACTCAATGTCACTGCCTGGCCGAGGCCGCCATTAGTGGCGCCGTATTCAAACTAACCGCTTGGTCCCACGCATGCGCCTTGCCTGCCAACGCCGGCCGAAGGAACGCCTCGAGTTTAACGTAACATGGCAGCGCCCTTTTGCCGTACAAGATGGCTGCGCCCACTCGGTTAAGTCTATGCCTCTCCGCAGCACTAGCAGACAGAAAGGGAATCAAAGCCTCGAGAGAGCGGTCTGCGGCATATCGGCACAGTTATTGCTTAATGTAAACGCAGAGCATGCTGTCAAGTTATTGCTCAAAATGAATTTATATTTCGGAAAGGAAAGCATGAGTAGAGGAGGAGAATCTGTTTAGAACAGTTCCTTATAGGCTGGGAGAGAAGGATGGTTGCTGTGACGAGGTGGCCGAGTGGTTAAGGCGATGGACTGCTAATCCATTGTGCTCTGCACGCGTGGGTTCGAATCCCATCCTCGTCGATACCCTTTTTTTGCGTGTGAAACATTGTCATGCTCTTGTACTGTATCATTATTATCCTAATGGTGTTTTGTTAAGTAGACAAATTATTTAGCACCCATTTTGCATTCTTTTTCCCAAGTCCAAATATTAGGTTTTGTCGTGGGTTTAGGAGCCATTCACAATCTTTAAGAAGTTTGCATGTTTTTCTTCTTGTTTACTTAGGCGTTCTTCCTCAGATAGAGAGAATCATTGAATCAAAGAGTTGGAAGAGACCTCATGGGCCATCCAGTCCAACCCCCTGCCAAGAAGCAGGAATATTGCATTCAAATTATCCCTGACAGATGGCCATCCAGCCTCTGTTTAAAAGCTTCCAAAGAAGGAGCCTCCACCACACTCCGGGGCAGAGAGTTCCACTGCTGAACGCTCTCACAGTCAGGAAGTTCTTCCTCATGTTCAGATGGAATCTCCTTTGTTGTAGTTTGAAGCCATTGTTCCGCGTCCTAGTCTCCAAGGAAGCAGAAAACAAGCTTGCTCCCTCCTCCCTGTGACTTCCTCTCACATAGTTATACATGGCTATCATATCTCCTCTCAGCCTTCTCTTCTTCAGGCTAAACATGCCCAGCTCCTTAAGCCGCTCCTCATAGGGCTTGTTCTCCAGACCCTTGATCATTTTAGTCGCCCTCCTCTGGACACATTCCAGCTTGTCAATATCTCTTGAATTGTGGTGCCCAGAATTGGACACAATATTCCAGATGTGGTCTAACCAAAGCAGAATAGAGGGGTAGCATGACTTCCTTAAATCTAGACACTATGCTCCTATTGATGCAGGCCAAAATCCCATTGGCTTTTTTTGCCGCCACATCACATTGTTGGCTCATGTTTAACTTGTTGTCCACGAGGACTCCAAGATCTTTTTCACACGTACTGCTCTCGAGCCAGGCGTCACCCATTCTGTATCTTTGCATTTCGTTTTTCCTGCCAAAGTGGAGTATCTTGCATTTGTCCCTGTTGAACTTCATTTTGTTAGTTTTGGCCCATCTCTCTAATCTGTCAAGATCGTTTTGAATCCTGCTCCTGTCCTCTGGAGTATTGGCTCTCCCTCCCAATTTGGTGTTGTCTGCAAACTTGATGATCCTGCCTTCTAGCCCTTCATCTAAGTCATTAATAAAGATGTTGAACAGGACCGGGCCCAGGACGGAACCCTGCGGCACTCCGCTCATCACTTCTTTCCAGGATGAAGAGGAAGCAAGAGGAAGAGGAACCTCTGGGTTCGTCCATTTAACCAGGAAGTAAAAGCTGTCAGTTTTCTTTTACTTGTTGCAGCGATGGGACTGGGATTCATAGATGTCTTTTCACTTTTGTATTTCTTATCCACACATCACTTTGGACACACGCGCTTTCTCTGTGGGCGCAACTACACTCTGGATTTAATGCAATTTGACACCTCTTTAACTGTCAAAGCTGAACGCAGAGCAGACTGAAAAGTTTGTAAAACTCCCAGGATTCCATAGGATTGAGTCATGGCAGTGTAAGTGGTGTCAAACTGCATTAACTCTACAGTGTAGATCAGGCATAGGCAAACTTCAGCTCTCCAGGGCTGAAGTTTTGGACTACAACTGTCAGCAAGCTGTTAGGATTTGTGGGAGTTGTAGTCCAAAACATCTGGAGTGCTGAAGTTTGTCCATGCCTGGTGTAGATGCTCCCTGTGTAGTTCTCCCTTACATACACAAATGAAGGGAAGTAGCCCTGAATGTATCTGTATTCAGAAGATATTCCTACTGAAATTAGTGAAACTTGAACTTCCTTTGAAGTAAGAAAAAACAAAACCTCAGTTCAGTTACTAAGATATTTAGGTACAGTACCAAAATGGTATCATTTATTATTTTGCTTATTTCAAACATTTGTACCCTGTCCTTTTCAACCCCCATCTGTTAATGATAACAGTATTGCTATTGTTACTATTCTCCATATATCCCAATGGAGGTTGAGTATCCCTTATCTGAAATGCTTGGGACCAGCAATGTCTTGGATTTGGAATATCTTTATTTGCATGTGTGTGTGTGTGTGTGTATGTGTGTGTACATAATGAGATATATTGCAGACGTGACCCAAGTCAAAACATGACACACTTTGATGTTTCCTAGCTGAAGGTGACATTAATAAAGGTAAAGTTTTCCCTTGACATTAATTCTAGTTGAGTCTGACTCTGGAGGATGGTGCTCATCTCCAATTCTAAGCCGAAGAGCCGACGTTGTCCGTAGACGCCTCCAAGGTCATGTGGCTGGCATGACTGCATGGAGTGCTGTTACTTTCCCCCTGAAGTGGTACCTATTGATCTACTCACAGTTGCATGTTTTCGAACTGCTCGGTTGGCAGAACCTGGGGCTAACAACGGGAGCTCACCCCGTCCGTGGGAGCCCCCAGTGTCACAGTGGGTTAAACCCCTGTGCCGGCAGAACTGAAGACCAACAGGTTGCAGGTTTGAATTCGGGGAGAACGCGGATGAGCTCCCTCTATCAGCTCCAGCTCCTCATGTGGGAACATGAGAGAAGCCCCCCACAAGGATAGTAAAACATCAAAACATCCAGGCATCCCCTGGGCAACGTCCTTGCAGACTGCCAATTCTCTCAGACCAGAAGCGACTTGCAGTTTCTCAAGTCGTTCCTGACACATGCACAAAAAAACGAAAAAACAACCCCGTCCGTGGATTCAAACCGCAGACCTTCCAATCAGCAAATTCTGCAGCTTAGCCGTTTAACCCGCTGCACCACCATGGCCCCATGAAGGTGACATTATGTAATATAATTTAACAATTTTGTGCACGAAACAAAAAATTGTGTTTGAATAATCAGAAAACAAAGATATCACTGTATCAGCCATCCATGTGGACAGTTTTGGGCAATCTTGGATTTCAAGCTGTAACACAATTTGTTTTCTTTAACTCATTTTTATTTATTTGTTTTGTATCAAACGCATTGCATAAATTAGTATAAAACTAATAAAAATAGAAGGACCACAAGCGGCTAAATATCTTTTGACCAAAAACAGGCAACAGTGACCGCACGTCTGTAGCCCCTCAAACCATTCTTCTTCTGTACATGAGGACATTGCCAACAAGCATAGAGATGCGGAGTTATCTGTTCTGCTCCACAGTTGCACAAGGTGGATTCTTTTAGGTAGTGCCATTTTGCCAGGTTGTCTTTTGTCTTTGAGTCTACAAGGAGGCTCTTTCTGTGTCCTCTTTGACTCATTGTTTTCATTACTGTTAATTAAGATGCCCACTTCTCTACAAATTGCACAATACTACGCTTTGTAGAGAAGATACAGAAGCTTGTTTGTTGCAAAATAGTTCTGGAGACCTTGAACACTGCATATTGAGTTGGTGGTCATGATAGGTTGAGAGGTTATCTTAAATACATAATGAACTACAAACCCAAAAATATCCCATAAACAAATGCTTCCACATGGTGCACTCATAACATTTCTGTTACTTTGACAATTATAGGAGTGTAGGCTCCTTCCAATAGCATTCAAATAATTGGATTTTTTTTCCAGTTCCAGCTCTCCAAACCTAATGCATCTGAGATATACTGAACTGTAATGCTCAGTATGTTGTTATTATCTCCTGACAGCTTTGATGTATGGCAACCCTATGAATGAGAGAGATCCTGTTACCAACAGGTCTTGAAGTTCCAGGCCTTGGTTGAATTTACCAGTAGCATGGTCTCCCTCTTTTCCTATTGCCTTTCATTTTGCCAAGTGTTAGTATTATATCAAAATATGTCCAATGGATATCCTCAGTTTTAGTCAAAAACACCAATTGCTTCCAGAGTTAATCTACATTGAAGAAATAATGCAGTTTGACACCACTTCGACTGCCTCGGCTATGGAATCTTGGGATTTGTAGTTTGATGAGGCACCAACTCTCTTTGGCAGAGAAAGCTAGACCTTGTAAAACAAACAATTCCCACATTTCCACAGCATTGAGCCATAACAGTTAAAATGTCTTTCATAATGCACTGAACTTTTATGTAGTTAATTTTTTTGAACTGGTTTCAGTTTTTGTTGTTGTTTATTCATTCAGTCGTTTCCGACTCCTTATGACCTCAAGGACCAGTCCACGCCAGAGCTCCCTGTCACCGTCACCACCCCCAGCTTCTTCAAGGTCAATCCAGTCACTTTCAGTTTTATTATGGTTTAATTGCTTCTTTAATTTTTGTACGCTGTAAATGGTTTTGAATCCCAAACTGGGATAAGATGAAGTATAGATAAAAGTAATATGGATGATAATTGTATTTTGATTGCGTTGTTAGCTCAAAAATTTAAGCTTTTAATACATGTCTCCTTGTGCTAAGAAATGAATTGAAAAGCATAGATGCCAACAAAAATCTTTAAAGATTATGTTCTTTTCACTGAGAAAACTGTCCTGTATATTGATTCACATTCCTCAAAAACAGCATTTCCCAAGCTGGGGGTTGAGACCCCAGGGGGGTCGTGAGGAGGTGTCAGAAGGATAACCAAAGACCATCAGAAAACACAGTATTTTCTGTTGGTCATGGGGGTTGTGTGTGGGAAGTTTGGCCCAATTCTATTGTTGGTGGGGTCCAGAATGCTCT